GTCAGTATCTCACCAGCCACCGTGAGGCGACGAAGCACAATTGACGCCAACAATCTCGTTACAACTGGGGTCAAGCTGATCACCCTGTGGTTACCACACTCACTACGCGCCCCTTTTTTGAAAACGGGGACATCACCGATTCACCCCAGTTGTCAGGGACAGACTCATTTTCCCAAATGCAAGCAAACAGGTCGGACAAGCGCGTCTTTAAACAGTGCGGGTGGAAGGTCATCCGGACCGGGAGCTCGGTGGCGCTTGAGAGAACATATACAGCCTTAAACCTCCGGGTCCGTAGGTGGTTCCCTGTTCACCGTCCAGGATTCTACTTCACCTGTGGACTGTAGTTGAGTGCCGGCTGGTGGCCAAGACATTTGTTGTTCAAAGTATTCAGCCCACCGGTCGAGGCGTTCCTCATTATTAGAGATGGTCGTTCCATTCTGATGCTTAATGCGTTCACTCACAGGTGGTTTCCGGGGACCGGTCGCACGGATCAACTGAAATAATCTCCGGGCATTACCTGCTTTCTGGGCCGCTTCCATTTCTTTGGCTTTCTGTGTCCACCATACTTCACGGTTGGATCACAAACTCACTTTCACTTGACGTCTGATGGCTCTTCGCATCGGGTTATGTTAGGGGCCGGCTGGGATATTTCTTCGGGATTTAAGTAGTGCCACCGTTCGGTCTGATATCCAGTGCTTGAGTGCGCCCGGATGGGTCGTGCCACAGGCAAAATTCCCAGCACTATGCAAAGAGGTGGCAATTTCGTCCCAGTATGAGATCACATCTGATGGTGGGGCACTTGGAAGAGACTCTAGAAGACGATTCTTGTAAGTTCGTCTGACATCCGGATCTGCCAGTCTTTCAGTTGTCATGCGATTTGTCCGCACCTTACGCGGCCCCGGGAAACGTAGGGCGAAGCGACTCCGGACGAGCGCGTGGTCAGAGTCTACAAATGTGTTCCAAAACGACAGGCAGTCAGTTATGGACTCGCGCCATCGGTAACTGATGGCAATGTGGTCGATTTGAGTTTGTGGCCGGTCTGTTGTTGGAGGACACCAAGTGGCCGGACGAATCCGGCTATTTCGGAAGTTAGTAATGCATAAAAACAGCCTGCGATCAGCACACAGCTGGAGCAATCGTTCCCCGTTGTTTGTACGACAAAAGTACTCTCTTCGAGGTGTTCGCGGAACAAGCATTGCGGAGACTCGCATTCTCTCAAGTGTTGCCCGAATGGGGGTTCCTCATAAAAAGGCAGCAGTGTACACACAAAAATATGTGATACTTTAAGACAGAGAACATAGGTGAGTGATGTTGGGTCAGATGGAGCATTTCGAACACATTTTGAGGTGAACAAATTAAAGTACCACTGAGCACTTACCATCAAAATAGACTATAGTATGCTCCATGGATGATGCATCAAATGAGATACGCTGATTATTGCGAACGAGCTGCAACAGTTGTGTTTTCTCCATAGCCACAGCTACTTCCACTTGTCCCGAAGAGTCTCCATCTCGTGGCCAACTGAGGCACATATCTGTGAGAATGACATTCATAGGGATTGTTGGATGTGGAAAGAACAACAAAACAGGAACTGTCTGAGTAAATCCGTGCGTAACAGAACCTATTGATACAGGAGGCACACTTCGAGATCACCATGAAACATCTACATGCCAGTAATAAACTAGTAGGCGGCGGGATCCTCCGCTGCTGACCAGGAGCATAAGTCACAGATCCTAGCAGACTGGTAAACTATCCATGTATATATTCACGGTATGTCCTGGAACTTACTGTAGTGTGACGGTTCGTGCACCTCAGCGACCCAGTGAGCTAGGGCGCGCCCGCGCAACATTGAAATCTCTCATAGCACGTTGGCTAATGGTCAGAGGTGTGACGAACACAGTCTCCTGGTACTCCAAGTTGGGCGTTGGAACATGTGTGGCGACTCGTTCCGTAAAAACGACAGTGCACTTGCATTTCCAGCCGAACACCGCTGCCTTGCGGTCAGGCTTTTGGACCAAATTATTTGGTTGGGGACCTTAATCGTCCTCCTGTCTAAGTGTGGGCGCCCTGAAAGTATCTCAGCCTACGTACAACCGTGTATTGGTTACCCATTTCGGTTGGGCTTAGGACTAGTGGTTGAGTAGTTTTCATGATAAAAGCGAGCAAGTTCCTAGTACTTTGTCAATTAAACAAGACATGAGGGTCTCATAATTGACTAAAGGCGCGTCAAAATTGAGGGGATCAGGGTTGTTCCAACTAGATTTTAGATTCCCACGGAGAAGGTATAAGCCTGCAATGGTACTAAATTACAACGGAGTGGGAATGTGAACTAAAACCAAGGAAACCCATTTAATATCCATTGAGTTGGACATAGGGCGGTCACTTAGACCCAATGGCAGAAGTGTCAAAAAGAGTAACCGCAATTTGAACCGATTAGACACACAAATGAACGCACGACGTTGGTGAGAGAGAAATTAGCTTCATTCTGAAAAGCTGGTGATAGAGTATTCTCAATTTGAAGAATAAGAAAGTCTTTCTTCAAGATTATGTTTCTAATATGCATTGACACCAACTGCCGAAAATAGGCTTGACGAAGTAAAACTCTAGCTGGACGATATAATCTTTCGTAACTTGCATCAGGCCAGAAACTGCCTTATTTGGTGAGATCGACGTACCATACAAACACAAGAGACTGTAGGGCACGCGCACTGCAACATGCAAGCGTCCGTGTCGACTCTGAGGCTTGAGTCGAATAGTAAACAGGAGGTCGTCTGGTAGCAACACTTGGGAAGTACATAGTGATTGCGAGGTAAAACAGCCGTAATACAATTTTAATATCCCTACGCTGTACGGTATCTTGATAGATCACATAATTTTGTCATGCTCATTGTCAGATTTTCCTCGGCTTGGACGTTTTTTTAACGATGCCACATGTTTGTCAACCGAAACTCACTCGTTCTATCCGCAAAAACATAGATAGTTTCAGTTGTCCCATATATCGCATGCCCGGACAACAAGGCAGTAATCTTTGAGGAACTCACACGGACCTGCTACCCATGCGGTGCTACATTAGTACCGGGTGTTCGCTTCAACATTTGTCAACATCTGCTGTAACTGTTTAGAAACAAAGCATTGCTTACAGTCCAGAAAGAGTACTACAGAGGGAACTAGTGTAAAAACTCTATGAACACAGGTTGATGCTGAAGATGTTTCATTTGTGGGAATGAGTGGTATTAAGTAGCGTGGTTAGACATACCCAGAAGGCCAAGATAGCCCTGTTGAAATCCCACGGCGAGACATCCAGAAAACTGCTCTGCAACTTGTTTCTCCGATGAATTTCGCTTCGCTTCGATAGTAGATATATCCAGTGTTTCCAGGAAAAGCGTAGATCGGTCACGGTCAACTGGGGGAGGATCAACTGCCGGGACCAAGCTACACGGAGGCGGCACCCATTCACATGTGCTAAGCAGACCACGCAAGGATATCAATACCGCACGAACACATTTTGTCACATCAGGGAAATAACATACCGCAGAACAGTCCTGTGGTTGATTGTTTAAAAGAACACACAGGGCAGTAGAAGTTGAAGAAAGGTCACGCACGTAGGGATTATCAAAGAAACAGACGCTGGTAATCAGCCACTCCTTCACATCTCCGTATACGTCATTCAGACATCCGTCAGTTGATGGAGACCAGGAAGAAAACTTGATCCACTTGTCCGTTCCCGAATAGCATTCCAACCACTGAGAGGTATAAAAACAGACAAGAGAACCTGAGGAATTGAAGGTCAATTGGCGAGGCAACTGATCCTTGTCAAACAGCCGGTGATCTTGTGTGAAATTCCCAACTGATTCAACGCGTACTGGTTGCATTGTGAGAGCTAAAACAAGGACAAAGTTTGGCAGGATGGTGGAATTAACCAAACATGGACGACGGGAAGCTGGGGACTTCGCACTACTCGAAGCTAGAGATGGTCTATCTTACAGTGTTAGTTGGCTACACTTAAAGGCAAATGTCACCCGAAGACCCCCTTACGAAGGACCAGCGTGTATCTTTGTGGGTAGGAGACAGTTGCTGTCTGTAGCTACCACAACACCTGAAGGCAGCATGAGGGCTGATATGTTTTCAGGTTGCCCAAACCTAGATGAAGGCAGTCGAGGTGCCGTGGTCGGGCTTGAACTAAGGCGGGTCATTAAGTCTGCGCCTTAGCCACTGAGCTACTCCGAATTCACTAGGTCTCCGTAGTAAAGATAAACAGACTGGGGTCCTATCTCACTACTGAAGTACCGGTCCATTCTGTCGAAAAAATGCCGCAGAAACTTGAGTCATCCTAGATTTAGATGCCCTGGCATTCCACAATACAAAAACTGAACATCTTGCAGTCACTTACACCTACTCCTTAAAGAAGGACTTCCAACAAAAGCTCACCGATATGGCCGAAAGCTAAGGTCTTCGTTAGACGGTTAACTGTTCAGACACCGGACAACCGTGCGCAATGTATAATCATTCCAAAACATTACGCAGGATAAAGCAATCAATGGTAAGAGATGAAATGCGACCAACTAAGTCATCTTACTCCTCGAAACGACTTTTTGATAGCCCGAAAAGAAGGGACAAAGCCAGCGTTAAGCCCCTACCTTCTGTCCTGAAGGCTCTCGCTACTCGCTCGCGTGCTTTGTGGAGCCGAGTGTTCAGAACTACCTTATTCCACTCGCCGACAAGTTTAGCCAACATCTCAGTGTCAGCCGCGAAATAATACCAAAATTGCTTCCAAAGTCGGGGCTCAAATTTGAGTCAGCATAGGTAGGATGGATTCTTCATCTTTATTGTTTTATTTATTTTATTTTATCATTATTAGGATGATGAAGGAAACACGCTACTGACAAAATGAAAGCCAGATGGCACCTTGGTTAGAGGGCGAATTGACTGACTGGAAAGTCCGTTGTTCGAAACCGGTCTCCGCATCTCGACTACTCCTGCCTAAGCTCGGGCATCTAGTCAGTATCCCAGCCTTCGTGCTTCCTTCAGAGGACACGGCATCATCATCATCATCAACGACAGCATGACATCAGTGTTCAACACCAATGCTTCACTGCCGTACAGCCATGACTTATTTGAAAGCCTTATTGTAAAGAAAACAATAAAGGTGGATGGGGGAGGGACTTAGTGCTAGCTTAACACAATCATTCCGAGGTGTCTACACCGCCAGACATTCACTCAGGCAACCTGGACAGAAACTGACAACAAGAACGCCACTGACATCGGTTGGCAGCCATATCTTGTAGTGTCTCCAACCAGGCACAGTGAGGATCACGCGGTCCCCATCTTGGAAGGCGAGTAGCACCGACAGCAACCAAGCGTTTCATGATCTCCTTAATACTCCTCTGCCAGGTCATGGGGTGGGCCCCTCTCTGTTTACGCCACTCCGAATTGGGTATAGAAAATAGTACTCTTTTCGGTAAACGATGATTCGGCATGCGTAAAACATGTCCCAACCAACGCAGCTTCTGGTGCTGGGTACATTCTTCAATGGAAGTACCCGTTACACAACCGAAAACACGCTTTCTAACTGCTTCGTTACGGATTCGCTGACACCAACCCACACGAGCTATGGTTCTGAGACAACGATTGTCGAACACCTGAAGACGTCTCAGGTCCGCTGCTCGAATAGGCCAAATCTCACAGCCATACCACAAGACAGCCCGTACTATAGCTTGCTACACACGTCCCTTCAGATTCAGGGATAAACCATTCTGACGCCATAGGTGTCTCAAGTTAGCAAACGCGGCCCGAGCCTTGCAGATTCGTGCATTCACCTCATCTGTCACACTGCAATCAGAGGACACGGCAGCTAAAATTGAAATGGTGTTCCAGCTGAACTATTTATTATTTATTATTGGCAAGAAAGGCAAAAACCAATTCGTCCCCAGTCGCCGAAATTATTCGCCCGACATGCAAAGTATATGATGCCATGCAAAAGGCAATGAGGTAAGGCCTGTATCACCTGGAGAGGATCGACGTCTTGAATGCTATTCACTTTCAAAAAGTGCTCGACTAAGACCAGCGAATTCGCTATAAGGTGGTCAGGAGACTGGTACTTGGTGAGGAAGAGGGTGCTTCCTAACGGTTCAACTGTAGCACCCCTTCGGTGCCTAACTGCCATGACGCCAGAAGGAAAGACAAGGGCTGGGATACTGCCAGGTTGCCCAAACCTAAGGAGTCGAGATGCACAGGCCCGGTTCGAACATTCCCGCCAGTGAATTCGCGCTCTCACCACTGAGCTATCTTGTCCGTGGCTACTTCCTCCAAACAACACGTTCAATGTTGCAAGCTAAGGTGGCTGGTCCATGTTTGAAGCATGCCTAGAAACCTGTCGAGGGGGGCTGTTATCCGCGCAGAACCTGTCGAAACCAGGATTTAGGCAGATTTTGAAATGGCGGCAGAGAATGAAGGGGGTTACGGAAAGCTTAAGTGCCGTTCGCCTTGCAGGATCGGTTCGCTTTGAACCTTCCTGTAGTCTTCGGGAGACATTCAACAATTTGCCGGCTAACTGAATGAAGTGGTGTTTATGCTGTCATTCGCTATCCAAATTGTCTGAATGCGTGTAGATACCTCGAGTTTGTGACAGGCAAGCCCAAGGTTACACTCCCTTACTTTTTTCTCCCTATTTTTCCATTAGATGATTTATTAAAATGACTTAACACTGACAAGCACTTCTGGCACTGCCACCAACAATTATGATGATGATGAGCTTGCCTCTTCTGCATGGCTAATATGCCAGTATCCAGTAGAACAAACGCAGCGTTCAGAATCATACAAGTATCCATCTCTCAGAAAATTTGTGGATATTCATCGGTCACCCGTGTGTAGAAGGATTATGGGTTCCATAAATCCTGCAAGAATGTTCTGCCCGACATCCATGGAATATCACCAGCCCCCTCAAGTCAACAACGACAATATTCAGACAACGAAAAATCGAAATTATCTGAGCCCTCAAAAACATCAAGAAGCCAGTAATCATTGTTACCTACAGCTGACCACATTCGCGAATGATTACCGCACTTCGATGGTTCGTGATGGATCCATACCGTAATAATCGCTCTTAAGTATAGCTGAGGTGAAGAACTGAATTGCAGAAACCACACAGCAACACAACAAAGCAGGCCACTAACAAGCTCCAGGACCAAGCGGGAAGACAAATGCCCTAAACCATATACCTTCTTGCCTACCCTAGTGCGGTTCGTTACTCAGCGAACACTACTCCCACGAGATATTCGCAGGAATGGCAATATGGAAAAGGATTCAAGCGACGCGCCTTCAAGGTCACGGATTCAAGGAAGGACTCACGGAATCACGGATACACAGATTGATACACAGGATCGAGGCTTTTGCCCAAGTTTCCCGGGTCGGTTTTGTTCTTGTCGGTCAGTGGCCGTCGTTCACCTGAAAGGCACAAGTGAAAAAGGGTGTAGCACTGCTCTTTATTCACGGATTCACGGATTGATACACAGGATCGAGGGTATTGCCCAACTTCCCCGGGTCGGCTTAGTACTTGTCGGTCAGTGGCTGTCGTCCACCTGAAAGGCACAAGTGAAAAAGGGTGTAGCACTGCTCTGTATGTTCTCAGCGCGGGGCAGTATGCTCGCCAGCGCGAGGAATCGCATAAATAAATGTCTAATAGTGCTTTAAATTGGGTTCGAGAAGGAGCGTGTACAACCGTCGGAGGAAGGTCATTCCAACGAGATGGGGAATGTGTACGCGATTTTTATATGGTCCGCGCGACCTCGAAAATTTTCTTACTATGCAACCGCCGTGTGTTTCCTGGTTCCACGGTAAAAAAAACTGTTTGCCAACCTTCGTTCAAACAGGCCGTAAGTAAGAATTGGGTCCCCTCGGAGGCGACGGTAATCCAGGGGAAAGAGATCAAGCATCGCGAGACGCGTTTCGTAGTCCACGGATT